TATATTCATCTTCATCTCCATTTACAGACACTCACCAAACTGAGCGTCGGGGGCAAGCAAATAGGAGCTGTTGGAGCTAAATATTTCGCTGATGCATTACAAAATAACGAGGTGATCATCTCCTTTTCTTCTTTATCTTTCTCATATTCATATTCATTTCTATTCACAGACACTCAAACTGTTCTACCTTCAGGACTCCAACATCGGATATACTGGTGCTCAATATCTCGCTGATGCACTACGACATAATAAGGTGCTCATCCTCATTTTCTCTTCATCTCTCTCTCATATCTATCTTTATCTCTATTTACAGACACTCTGGACAGTGTTGATCTCCCGTATGAACAATATTTCCTCATCACTTTTAGAAAAATTGAAGCAACAAGACTCACGATTCACCTAATAATTAACTGCTTTTGATTTTCGTAATTAATAAAAAAGTATTGAATCTCAAAATATTCTTGCTCACACGCACGCGCTGCCAGATGGATGTCTGCAAATAGTGGCAACATGGCCATACACTATAGACAATTTTCTGAAATACCTCCGTGAAGATATGCGATGAGTATACTAGTCTATGGAGTTGCCATTTGATAAGTCATCTCTCTCAGTACGAGATAGTATTACCTCTATCGAACAGCAAGCGCACTGCTTTTTTTACGACTGCTAGAAACATGCTAAAATGTATATTCATGAAGACGTTCCTCGAGAGATTATTTGTTCAGTATCACTATTCACACCAACAAAAACTTTTTACTGTTGCACATATTGGACAGAAAACAATATACAGTCAAACCTCTATTAATGAACACCCCTCCTTAGTGATCAACCTCTTATATTGAACACCTTCCGGAACGACCGACGAGATTTTGCTGGTTTTGACCCCTCCTAGCTGATCACATCGCGATTCTGAATATGAACGCTTTTTTGTGGAACCTGCTGCATGAATCGCCCTCTCTTATGCGAACATCTATAGATGGCGCTGTCTTTTCCCCGTCATTAAACAGCTGTTCCTATTGGTTGAATTTCGATTCGCTGAAGAAACAAAAAGAATCACGCCAATTAGAAACGAAACAAATAGAATCACATCTATCAGTGAATGTAAATCAGACACCTTTCTCCTTTGTTCGAAGGATAGTCTTTTGTTATTGTCAGATTCGATATGGCATTTCGTCACGAACTTTCTCTGGAAGACAAGATGGTGCTGATAAAAGAAAAAGGAAGAGTACTTTCTCATCGATAATTGAGTGACAGAATTCAGATATCCCTCAGTGCCGTGTCCAACA